CAACTTGATAGGCTGCACAGGAGAGAAGGCAGAATCAAGGACGCAACCCAGGTTCACTCTTGAAAAGCGAGGTGAATGTTATGTCTGTCTATTCCGAAATTCAGAGGGAAGAGAGGAGGAGCAGTAGAGATGGAGGATGGTTTAAGTTTTTGAGCGAGGAGCTCCCAGAGCAATGCTCAGCGGTGAACAGTAGGTGTATAAGTCTTAAGCTGAGGCGAGACATGTGAGCTGGGAGGGTGGAAATACATATTGAAGCATCATGAGCATAATGGTAATTGAAGCCTTACGGCTGGTGGAGACCACCCACAGAGTGCATGTATAGAGAAGAGCACTGGAAAGCAAAATTTAAGTTTTGAGGGGAAAGAACTATGATTTACAGAGGGGACTAAAACGAAAACCAGAAGAACATTATGAAATTAGTCAAAGAAAGTCGTAAGCTAATCTTGAAGGAGGGATTGGCATTTGTCCAAGAAGGGTGGACTTTTTTGGAAAAAGAAATAGTGTGTGTAAGGGCAGAGAGGCAAGAGAAGGTATGGCCATATTTAAGGAATACTGTGTATTTTTGTTTTGTACTATTCCCTCCTTGGTATACCCTTCATTCCAGACTGGATTGTTTACTTGGAATGAAATTCAAGTTGCCTTTGACCTCTATGACTTTGTTCACACTGTTTTCTCCATGCAGAAAGCCCGTCTCCCCCTTCACCAAATGTACAAGTTCTCCTCATTGTTTCTTGTAGCCCAACAACAACACCAAGACCGCTATGATCTCCCACAATTACATTCTTCCTTCTCCTCCTCTTGGGAGTAAGTTCACCCATAAGAGTTCTCAAAGCATTGTATTTGTATCTCTCTTATGGCATTTCTATTAAAGCTTCATAGTTACTCAAGCAAACATCCTTGAGACCAAGAACCGACTTTCTCTCAGGACCCATCAGGTATAATCCTCAGCACCCAACATGGAGCCTGCACTTAGCAGACCTTTGATTAATGCAGAGCTTCTCAAAGTGTGGCCTCAGAACCAGTAACATCAACATGTCTGGGAACTTGTAAGCAATCGGAATGCTCTGGCCCCACCCCAGACATACTGATTCAGAAACACTGGAAGTGGGGCCAGAAATCAGCACTTTAACACGCCCTCAGATGTTGTTAATGCAGCTAAAGTTTGAGGACCACTGAGTTTGCTGAAGGTCTCTTTTCCTTCTAGAATAGAAATTTGCAACTACAGTTACATTATGAGCACTTCTCTTGATTCTGAGAGCATAGCTATAAACTTTAAACTGAGCCTGGGTGGCTCAGTCGGTTAAGCGACTGACTTTGGCTCAGGTCATGATCTCATGGTTCTTCAGTTTGAGCCTGTGTTGCACTCCAGCTGACAGCTCAGAACCTGGAGCCTGCCTCCGAATCTGTGTCTTCCTCTCTCCCCCACTCATCTCTGTTTCTCTCTGTCTCTCAAAAATGAATAAACTTTTAAAAAAGGATTAAACTCAAATGCTCAGTTGATTATTTGAAAACTTCTTATTTTATGTCTTCTGTTTATTAACATACCATGTATATAAGCATCTTTTATTAGCAAAAGAAATTTGAGCAGTGTTCCTGGCTTTAGTAGTATCCAGGAATTAAGCTTTGTCTGACTAAGATTTTAACTTGCTGATGGCCGAATTATCTATTCTCCTTTTCTTTCACTTTCTCCTCTGCTTTCCTCCCTCCCTTTTCCTTTCTCCGTGTTTCATTTTCACATCTAAAACTGTCCTTGGTTACAGTTCTCTCAGAGCATGCACTTTGGAGAAAAGATGTTATAAAAGTCTGAAATGTTCACAATAAAAATCAAAGGGTTCCCAGCAAGGTCAGGTGGATTCGCCCAGAAAGTTTAGCACAAGAGGGGAAACATTCCATTTTCTTCACATTCTTTTGGCAGCCCATAATTTCAGAGACAGGATTTCAATCAATGTGGAAAGACATCTTTCCTTAGAGTTGAATTCACTCCAAACCATTCCAGGCAGACTTACTGCTGCTGAATTTCAGCATTTACTGCCGGTGTCAGCTTCCTAGGGTGTAGAAAGCTGTTCTGAATTTCTGCCAAGAATTTTTGAGCTTTTGTGTCACCTCAGCCCTAGGTGATGATCAGACAAGCTCTGGGCTAGGGAAAGGTGTCACAAATGCTCAACAAAGATGCCCCAAACCAGCAGTCATCCTTAATAGGCAGCCTGTCCTTTCCTTAACATCTGAGCACTTTCTCATCAATTCTAACACTTACTATTCACTTAAGAATGCTCTGTTGTGCACACATATATATAGCACTCACAGGTGAATGTATGTGTGCATATCTATCTAACCCTAGATAGGTAGATATGAAAAGAAGGCTGAGTGAAGAAAATTTCAATAGCATAAAAGGTTTTTTTGATTTGCTGTAATGAATGCATAAAAGTCAGTCTTGATATAAGTCTCATAATACCCGTATGCTTTTAATGTATAAAAAAGAGAACGTGGTGGGTGCTCAGTCAGTTAAGCATCTGACTTCAGCTCAGGTCACGATCTCATGGTTGGTGGGTTTGGGCCCCGCGCTGGGCTCTGTGCTAACATCTCAGAGCCTGGAGTTTCAGATTCTGTGTTTCCCTCTCTCTGTGCCCCTCCCCTGCTCATGCTTGGTCTCTCTCTGTCCTCAAAAATGAATAAACATTAAAAAAAAAAAAAAACTTTAAAAAGAGAGAGAGAACATGGTAGCAAACATAGCCACCACAGCATACCCATGAGCAGTTTCTTCATAAATACAACATGTAGTAGCCATTTCCTCAAGTAACGGGAGCAGTATACATCTGTACTGCATTTTATAAGATATAAATACCCATTAGGTCACTATGCAAATGTCTTAAATGTTTGGAGAAAGGGAAGGATACATGGGTATTCAGGAAATACAGCTTCCAAGTCTTAAATAGAAATAAGAAGATTTTTTTCTTGCCTATAAATATCTTCATAGTTTTGGTGATTCTGTTCAAGGAAATATTGAATTCCTGGTGAACTTGCATTTTAGGAAGTACAGTCAGTATCCAAAGAGTTCCAGAAGATAAAATTCTTTATTCTTCAGAGCCTGCTGTACCTTTGCCTTATCCAAGTAGGATGTTTATCAATTATTTGGTGGTAAAAGAAGTAAGAGTCCTAAAGCTGATGAGAAAGTGAGTTATCAGTTTTTTCTGTTCTAAATAGACGATGATTCATCTTTGAGAGATTCTCCTGAGAAATCAGGCTTACGTATGGTCTTTGACATTGCTTTCAGCGTCTTAACTATTTGGGGCAAGTTTAACTATAAAAGAGAGATGTGCTATTTTTAGTTTCAAAATGTTGACATTCAGAATATAGCAAATTGCTTGTCACTGTGGAAAAGACAGAGTCCTGTTTTCTCCACATTAGCAGAATATGAATCTTAAGAGAGAATATTAATCTGTGGAGACTGGGAGGGTACACTGTTTGACTAATTTGATGTGCTCAGCTGGGGCGCCTGTTTTCTTCTCTGGCTGTGACTTGCCACTCTGGTTCTATCTAAATGTATAGCACAGTGTGCCATTCCAAGGAACACTGTCAACTTGGTGAGTGATGCTAATTTCCTAATAAGCATGACACATGACAGCCTTTGGGGAAGGGGAGGATAAGCCCAGATACTTGGATGACACAATTTATGTGAGAGGACTGGAAAGCCAGAACTTGCTTTTGTTCTAGACAGTTCCCTGAGCATCTAGGCTCAGTAATCAAGAAAAGCAACCCTCATTTACAAACTAGTTTTATTGAAGTGGGGCACATTTTTCACCTTACCCATCTCTTCATCTAACCCCGGATTCTGGGCTCTTTCCCAAGGTAGAAGGGGGAAAGGAGAAAGCCCCTTAGCTCTGATCTGGGAGGGTAGTGCAGCTAGTCCTGGCAAAGCTTAGGTACATAAGAGTTACCAGAGCCAACCAGCCAACCATCTTGCGGCCCTTAGCTCCATTCTGATCATGTCCTAGTGCTGCCCACATTGGCAATTCCCAGGTAGTTTCCTCGTGGTCCTTCTCCCACCTCTGGGACCAGACTGCCAGTCTGCTCCAACGGGCTATTTCTCCCCACCCTCTCTTTTGGACTGGACTCTTTCTTTACCCAGCTCACTAAACTGAATTTGGTTTACTGGTTTATTTCCTTATCTACTTGTCATCATCCTAAAAATTTCAGCCCAAAACTTATAAATTCAGCAGGTGGCAATCTTCTCAGAATGCCCTTGTATACAGAAATCTATAGAAACTACTAGACAAAGACTCACCAAGGAATAGTTGAGACTTCTTCCTGAGACAAAAAGTAGGTAAGTTGAGGCAAGAAGATGGTCCCATGTCAAGGAAAATAGTAAATAAGAGCTGTATTTACCAAGTGCTTCCTCTGTGCTAGGCACTGAGGACCTCACCCAAGCTTAATGTCTTTCATAGATTAGTTCATTTAATCTTCACCTAAGGTAAGTGTTATTAAACCCTATTTTGAATATGGGAAAACTGAGGCTTAGCAAGCTTCAAGTTCCATGTTCAAAGTCGCAGAACTAGTAAATAGTAGAGGCAGGTTTAGAAAAGAGGCCAACCTTACTCCAAAGCATGGGCTCTTTCTAAATAGCTATGCCTCTCCCAACTGAAAGAATGCCTTCAAGCAGTTTACATTTCATTTTAAGCAGTGGTTCTCAACTGTAGGCATTGAGCTCCCCACCGCCACCAAAAAAAGAACATTTGGCCCTATCACAGGACATTTTTGGTTGTCACGACTGGTGGAACAGTGTTACTGGCATCCAGTGAGTAGGGAGAGGCCAGGGATGCTGCTAAACATCCCACAGTGCTCACGACAGCCCCAACAACAAAGGATTGTCTTGTCCCAAATGTCAATAGTGCTGAAGTCCAGAAACCTTGATTCGAAAGACGGTGGCTTTTTAAAGCCAATTCATAAAAACCCAGGTTATTTTGATTGTGATTCACTCATATGTACATTCTGTCCCATCACAGATGACAGCAGCCTTCTAAATCTAACTCCCTACCCCCTGGTTAGAAGACGGAAGAGAAGGTTCTTTGGGCTGTGTTGTCTTGTCTCAAGCTAGGCTCTCCTCCTGGAAACCCAACATTGCGAAGACCTGAAAATATCACAGAACCTGAGGACCTCCAGAGAGCTGATCCACAATTCTTGGTTTTTGACTATGTTTTCTAGGCTTCCTTATTACTTTTATTCGCCTCCCTCTACCCTTTTAAATGATTTTACATGTGAAAGCAGCTGCTGTCAAGGGGGGAAAAAGATTCAAAACGCAGGCTGTTTTTAAAAGGATTTTTAAAGCTGACATTGTACGTGTCTGCTCCAAACCATACCATGACAGATGCAAGAATTATGGTTTTTAAATTATTTAAAGGTTTTTTTAAATGTATTATACAGAGAAAAATTATTTCATGTATAATAGTATATCTTTAGCTCTTGCTGATCTCATGTTAACAATTTATCATATATGAAAGTCTTTAAACATAGAAATCTCTCTAAAACTGCAAAACTGTGTTCAAAAATCCAATCATCTGTCAGTACTATTAGAAATAATATTATAAGCAAACATATACCACCTCACCTATTGCTTTGTCTGCGCTCATTCACATTTAGTCTTCCATTCTGTCAAAATCCAAGAGCTTCTACATAAAAACATCTTAATTTATAATGCAACAAAAACCATATATGAAAAGTATTTAAATTTTGTAAATACACAATAATCCTAATACCTTCGTACAATGCATATGGGCAACTAATTTCCTTTTGATCCAATGGTGTCTTTTTCAGCTTCCTGGAGAATGAAGTTAATCCAGTTAGAAAATGGTGTAGTAACATATACAATTACCCTCAAATGTAAAATTGAATATTATCACATTTTGTTCTAACTGAAATCTGAAGCATGATGTCTGCACAGCAGCATAGTGTTAAATCTTATAGGGCATGCTGGAATTAGCTCAGATCGTAAAACTATTTAACATTTTCTGTTAATAAAATCTTTTTAGTTAAGCTAAGCTTGTCTCATTTTAGATGACTATGCAGATATGACTTTTCCAATGTGTACTTGGTGTCTTGTCTTATGCTTAGAATCTTGAAAGCAGGACACATTAAGCAATACTGTATTTTAGAAAGGAGGAAGCCACACGCTTCGTTTTTTCTGCTCACAGCTTTGTTATAACCTTCCTCACTAAACTTGTAACATGGTACAAATTTTGTTATATTTTTCCCTGTCCTTCCTTGGCCCGTTTCCCAAAGAGAATTTCCCATGGGTTGAGAGATCAGGCCTTTGGACTTTTTTTCTTGCTTTCCAAAATCTAATAAACCCTGAAGTCGGACAAGAGGCACCAGTGTCTAGTACAATAAAAGGGTGGGCGAGATGCCTATAAGTGATTTATCCAAGATGCATCTTCAGTTCCAACCCTATACTTTCTCAGTGCTTATGCACACATGCATTTAGAGGCACCGAGATTTTAACCTAACAACTAAATATGCTAAAGCTTTTAGCTGTAGTGAAAATGACGATAGGTATATATGAACTAGTGGACTACTCGTTGTATTAGGTTGAACCATATGAAATTGCTGGTATTTGACTGTTTTGACCTATAAAAATGGCAATCTCACATGGTTCAACCTAATATCCGATGTGAAAATTATACTTGGAATTGTCTTCTAGCATTTGTGGTTGAAAGCGAATGGATTGAAGGGTTGGAAGATATCTCAAAAGGCTATGCAGATCTCTATTTAGATCATACCAGCTGGTTTGAGGCCTTATTCTTGGAATCCAGAGTAGTGTGCCAATGACCTGGTAATGAATGCATGGTTGTCAGTATGCCTGACTTCATATAAAGAGGTCTCCTTGAAAGTTATATGAGAAAACCATAACTTTCTAAATCAAATATTTGTAAAACAGTTATTCGAGTATGCTACTTAAAGAATCTTAGAATGAATACCCCCTTGGAAAGCAGGCAACTACTCCTACATGTATCTGGTCTGTAAACCCTGATTTCATAAATCAGGTTTGACTAAAGCTTAATATCTTTTTTGACTATGGTTCATTTCCATGCCTTGTGGTTAATTCACTTAAGGTCCATTGTTTTAGAAATTACAAAATAGCCCAACTGGGCATGTTCTCAGCTCCCATCTCAGCCCTTGCCCACCTTTCCACGATATTGAACCCTTAGCTTCAATCTAGTTCCTACTAATTCATGCAAAGTTATCAACTGATAAACCCACCTTGGTGTTCAGCACGTTCTGCTTGACCTAAACCACTTCTGCTTGGTTAATTTGTGCTCACTCTCGCCTTAGTCTCGGTATGAAAGGAAAACTTACCTTCCGTGCCATTGTCCTTTGTACAACTGAAGACTGTTAATAAATTCAGGTCTCACCTCCAGGTCTGGGAGGGCTATAGTAGCTATTCATGGAGATGGGAATTTGCCTAATTCCCTAGGTAGGCTTTCCATATCTAAGGTAAATAAATTTAGCCACCTTCTCTTTTATTCATAGTGCCTGTTTCCCAGACTTTGATTGGTTTTGTAGTTCCTGTGGACACACTCCAAGATTTATAGATCTTTCACTAGCAGGTCCTAAAATTAAATTTAGTGCTCCAAGTCGTGATGACCTACACTGGCTCATAGTGGCAATAGATAGCTCACCATCTCCCATTAGATATGCTAATGCATCTCTTTAGGAGCTGACCCCACTCTCCTCTCACCTACCAAAGGACTTTCTCAGGTGCAGTCCGTGAGATAGAGGTCTACTGTCTCGGCTTCCTACTAGTAATTCGCTTTCAGATAAGCAATAACACTGACCTGATCTCTAGGGGTAAGGAGAGAACACTGAACCCATTCTGTTGCATGGGTACTCACATGCTGAAAACAGAAAAGGATGTCAACTTTTTCTAGCACGCGCTCACCCATTTTGCCACCATAATTTTAGTATCCTGTGTTGATTCATCGTTGTTGTTGTTGTTGTTGTTGTATGTGTGTGTGTGTGTGTTTTCAGATTACAGAGACAACATATATTGTTTGTGGGAAATCTGAAACATACCACTAAGTATAAAGAAAATAAAAAATCACCTGAATCCCACCACAATCATATTGTTTAAAACCACATTTCCAGTCAGTGGCTGAGGCCAAAGGCACTTGTGACAAGATATGTGAACAAATGCCCACAAGGTCAAGGTATCACTTTAAAATACCTTGTCTGCTGATGTTTTGCACGCTTCTAGAAACAGATTGACTGCAAACTTCTGGTTGTGCCATTGTCGAAGGGTACAAAGAAGACTTTAGAAGTAGCAGGGCCTGATGCCTCCCGTAATGAAAGCTTTTAATGAAATTCTACATTCCTGCCAGATCATTTCGTTCCTGGTGCTCTTCTAATGGTTGGATACTTACTGTATGGCAATACTGCCACCTACTGAATGCTGAACTTTAGGGTAAGAAGGGAAAATAAATGCACAGAATGTAAAAGCATCTCCTTCATTTTAGACAGCAAGCAATGGGCCAGATTCACAATATTCCATATGGAATTTGGATTCTGGAAGTCTCAAAGTTGAAAGGTATCATCCAGGCTAACTTCCCACACCACCTACATGTACCTAAAAATTACCTATCATTTCTTTGTGTTTTCAAACATCACCAAGTGCAAAATGCTCAGCTTTCAAGTAACTACAGATCGGATGAGAAAAAGCAGTGATGCTATTTGCCCATAATAAATCATTATAATTAAATATAAAGATCTGTGAAAGAAGGTTGGATTACCAAATAATTTGGGATGACTGGCCATTTTGGGGGGAAAATACTAGATCTATACCTCATAACTTCCATCAAAATAAATTCTAGGTGAAGTAAAGATTTACATGTTTAAGCACATAAACATATAAAAGGACTAAGGCAATACTGATAAATATCTCTGTAATCTTACTATGGAAAGAAAGCCTTTCTAAGCATGACACCAAAGGAAGAAACCAAAAAGAATAAGATAGATGGATTTGACAATTAAAAAGGCAGAACTCCTCTACAGTAAAAATTAACCAAATTAAGAGAAAACAAAATTTGAAATATATGCAAAAAAGAGTATAGATCTCTAATGTGTATGAAGAGCTTCAACTCCATTACTGATGGGAAGTTTCTGCGATCTACAATCTTCCCAACAAAGTGTTCCCATTTCATTCTTTCCTCATTGCACTTTTTAAATTATTGCTTATTTGTCTTTTTATCACCACTAAACTGGAAGTTCAAGAAAGCAGCCACCCTGCCTGTTTTGCTTACTGTTATATCCTCGATACTTAACACAGTGCTAGACACAAAGCAACTACTGAAAACATATTTATTGTGTGAGTGAATAATGAATGCATGACTAAATAACATTGTATGATCAAAAAGAATCAAACTTTCCAGTAGAAAACTGAGCCAAGGACACAAACTGGCAATGTATCATAAACTAAAGTAATGAACTAATAAAAACATGAAAATATTTAAATATACTAGTAATCAAAAATGCAAATTATTACAATACACTCCTTTTTATGTATCAGAAAGACAAAAGGTATAAAGAATTATAGTTCCCAGGGACAGCAAGGAAGGATGGAAGGGGACATTCTCTTACAGAGGAAACAAGACTGTAAATTGATCTGATCTTTCTGAAAATATTTTGGCAATATATTTTTTGTGTATGCCAAATACTTCCACTTTAGGGAATTCTCCTTTTAAAAAAGTTAAGACAAAAATGAACTAAGATACATTCATTCATTATTCAAAAAATATATGCAAGAAAGGATGCTTATAGGAGCATGAAAAAAATTGGAGGAATGGAAAAAAATATAAATAAGTCCATAATATAGGGTTGGTTACGTATGGTATATCCTTTCAATGAAATCCTGTGCACCAATTAAGAATAAGCACTAGATGTATATTTACTGAAATAAACAGCTATATTAAATGAAAAAAGAAAGCTACGGAAGAATATAGTATGTTCCCATTTTAAGAGTATACATATATATATGTGCATTACCGTGTCTGAAAGGATATTTGCTAAAATGTTAACAGCATCTATCTCTGGGAGGTGAGATTTGGAGCAATTATATTTTCTTTTTGCATATCTGTAATTTCTGATTTTTCCACAATGAGCATGTAGTATCTGTATAATTTTTTCAGGGAATAAACAACAATGTTCACAATATATATTAAATGAAAAACACATGTTATAAAACAGTATGTATAGTATGAAACAATATTTGTAAAAAAGAAAATTATATATAAATATATCTATGTATGTATATATATATGCATAAGAAGCTAGAAAGACATACACTAAAATGTTAATAGTAGTTATTTATGGGTAGCGGGATTATGGGTGATTATTTTTTCTTTTTGTTTTTCTGTGTTTTCTAATTTTTCTACAATGAATATGTATTCCTTGTGTAATAAAAACTAATAATAAAAGTTTAAAAAAAAGGAAAGTGAGACTTTGTGACTCACCACTTGCTCTCATCCTCCCTGCCACGCCCTGGACTCACTCCCTGTCATCAAAGTGTGGGCAGTGGGGTTGTGGAAAGGAAACACCAGGACACCATAACTTCGCAGGATGGAATAGAGAGGCAGACAAAGGTAGATGGGAAGGACAGAGAGAGGGCGGAAGGGAGGGAGGGATGGAGGAAGAAAGGAAAGAAAGAATTAAGTGAAAGTGTAGTCAATAGAGGAAGGATTAAAGCAGGCTTTGGAAATATTTTCCCTAACAATAGCAGTAAGTCTCTAACTTTAACTCTGTTTACCTGATAACTATGACAAAAACAAAAACAAAAAAACCCATGCAGTTAAATAGGTTTGTTTTCTTTATTTTTTAAATGTTTATTTATTTGAGAGAGAGAGAGAGAGAGAGAGAGTGTGTGTGTGTGTGTGTGTGTGTGTGAGCAGGGAAGGAGCAGGGAGAGAGGGAGACACAGAACCCAAAGCAGGCTCCAGGCTTCAAGCTGTCAGCACAGAGCCTGACATGGGGCTTGAACACACGTA